TGTGTGGATATATATATATATATATAGATATATTTATTTATATATACATGACTCTATTCCCAGTTCTGTCTATGTGATACAACATAATGTTGAGCTTGCTCAAGAAAGCAGTACCTTTCTTGGCAATATCTTAAGGTAAAGAAACAGAAATCATCTATAAACTGATTGGATTACAGGATGGAATCTGCACTACACATATTCCAGTTGCCTGTTATCTTTTGTAATTTCTCTCAAATTATTTGATGTGTGATAGGTTTTTTTTTTTATCTAAAATTTTCAGAAAAGTTATCTTTAAAGAAAAGTATTATGTATGAATCTATCACTCTAATATATCTATATTTTTCCAGATTGCATCTTCCTATTTCAAAGACTTCCATTTGTTGTTAACGGGGGTCATTTGTTTGGCAACCTCAATAGAGAAATGGAACTTACACAAAAGAATAGCCTTACGAATGGTGATGCTGGTGGGCGTCAATCCTGCCTGGTAAATGTTCACATCACAATCTGACATATTTATAACATCTGAACAATGTAAATGATCAAGTTAGTGTATCACAAAATCATAAGTAAACAAACGGGGTCTGACTCTGTGAAAGAATAAAACTGAGCTTTATTAATACAAACAGATATGTATATCCCAAGGGTCTCATGTGTGGAAATCATCCCAAGACAAAATTTATTTAACATTGAGGAGCATTTTAAACAAAAGAGTACAAAAAAGCATTAATTTGCACGAACCCATATCAGCCAAGCAGAAATCAGCTTTTATTAGCCTGGATGCACTTAACTGATTAAATATTAGTTTATTTAAAATCAGAATTTTATGTGGAACTTTATTCCGTATGTGTAAGAATGAACAAACCTCAGTCTCATAAAACAAACTGGATACTATTCCATCCCCTTCCCTCTTCCCCTTGTTTAAGGCCTGTAAGCCTGTATGTGATTGTTTGGTGAGATAACCGTTCTGTGTGCAGTGTTTGTGGTGAAGGCTGGAGAGGTAGCCCACTTCACCCTTTTCTGGTCTTTGCCTCCCAGGCTCCATTGGACATTGGGTCAGATAGGTCACAAGGGGAGCACATTATTTTTCAGTGCCATGGACATGGCAAGAGATAGAGCCAAGTGGAGAAAACACAAGGAACAAGGTTTTTAATTGTTCCAACCTCAATAGTCTATGCAGTCATTGCTGGTACAACACTAGGTGGTTGTCTTTTGAATGCACCGCAAGTCTACGTAGGGTGATACATTAGGTAAGTGAGGTTGAAGACCCCCTAGTCCCATACAGATACATCAGTATGATTCAGTTTGTGGAGATTCAGGTCTGCCATCATAGTTCTGGGAAAAATTTAGCAACATTTAAGGATATTTATTTAATCAGAAATAATCATATATGCATTGTGCTGTTCTAACTCTGTAGCTTGCTAATACCATAATGTGTGCACACTTTACAGGCTTATGCTGGGATTTATGTTCAGCACTGGCTTCTTGTCCATGTGGCTGAGCAACACATCCACTGCTGCCATGGTGATGCCAATAGTAGAAGCAGTAGCACAGCAAATAATTAATGCTGAGGCAGAAGTTGATGCCATGCAAATTAATTCATCAGACGGCATTCACAATGAAGTGTTTGAACTTGAAGGTACATATGATTACCCATTTAACTAAAACCAATCTGCATTGCCATCATACTGTATGTTAATCAAACCATTCTATCCCTATTTCTTTATCTTTGCTGAAGGAATTTTCCCATCTTCTCCATGTTACACATTTGAATGTGGAGACAATGGTGCTCATGTATGAAAAGTGCAATAACCACATCATTTTTATTGCTCATAGCAAGCTTTCATTTTCAAACCTGGACTGCATAAATGAAAGCAAGAAAATAAATGACTCCTTTGAAAAACAAGTGATTTTTTCCTATAGCTTATATTTGTTATATATATATCAGCCCCAAATGAGGCATAACTGGCACATTTTAGATTCCATTGTTACTATACTTTAAGACACACAAGCATCTGATCTTCCCACATATACAGTCCAGCCAGTAGATAATATTTTGGTACACTTTAAATGCTTTACAACAAAAACTATTTGTGATGTTTCTATCGTAAAAAACCACACTAGAAAAACATAAAAAAATGAAAAGCAACGCTTAAATCTGAACATTTGCAGACTTTCACTCTGTGCATGTTACTGATCACTGAACTGAATGGCTTACATTTCTGTCTTGTGATGAACAATAGAACTGAAGCTCATATGGAGGCTTTATAATGGGTGAGGGCATATTATGATATTAAAACTGTCAGGTGGCAGGCAGAAGATCAAAAGCCGTGAGGGCAAGTCAACCGAATAAGTATTCAGAGCTCGGAATAAAAACAACATGTCTTTCATTAAAACATATAGGAAGGGGTAAGACTTGGCATCTAGACATACTGTAGGCTAAGAAAGAGCTCCATAATCTCAGTGCCCTCTTCTGTTTTATGGCACAGTGCATCCCCTCCTGCACCCTGATGTGGAAGTGCCAAGATCCAAACTGGAAAGAATAGCTGGAACTAGAGCAAAGGACACATGAGATGTATGGGAACACAGAGAATATACATGAAACAATGGATTGAGATAAACAGGGTATAAAGGTGCAAGGTGCATGATACACAGACTTGCGGCAAATGCGGCAATGTGCCAAATGCGGCAATGTGCTCGCACACGCACACATCCAGCAGAGACACAGAACCAGGCAAAGCTCTATGAGCAACACCCAAACACACGCGCATGCACAAACCGCTGAGCATGAACTCTGGTTCTGCTTTCTTGACACATGCTCATGACAAACACATAACTATACACATAACCAAAAAGGTTAAAAAAGAGAGAGAAAACAAATGAAGTGGTCCACACTTGATGGACCATTTTGTCTTTTTCTGCAATCACTCGTCTATGTTTCTGAGACAAGTGCTGAAACAGACTAGTGGTTAATACAAGCATAAAGCTAGTCATAGATATAAAACGACGAGTGTCTGATCTGGCCATTTTCAAACAGATCAGATAACTATCTCATACCTATGGCAGCAATAAAAACACTGAATAATATAGACTAGAAAACTGTGTCAATGCTTTGTCTACTGGACCTTGCATGTAATTTACAAAACTAACCAGAAAGGGGCACATTCTATGGTCATATCAAGGCTGCATGTTCTTCAACTGAGGTCTTTGTCCATCTTTAGAAGGGTCTTGGTTCTGGTTTTAATGCAGCAGAACCTTTTACAACACCCCTCCATGTGGTTCTATAGGAGAACATAGCTTTAAAGCTATACTCTGGTCACACAGTGGCAGCACTATGTACTATAATTACAGTGAAGACTTCTGTAATTATACATTACAATTATTATACAATAATTGTGCCTGGAACTGTTTATAACTTTAGGGTACCAATTTGCTTAGTTTGTACTTCTAAAGAGTTGGGCAAATTATGCTTCTCTTTTTAATTACCATACATTAGAGACCTATGCATACTTCTAACTCAGAATTGCTACTTATTAGCACAATTGGCAACTAATAATCGGTACAATATACAGAATATTTTATAGACAAAATATGACATCTTGCTTAATAAATGTTTGCTGTTATTCCTCACATACTGTATAAGCTATCATATTGAAATGTATATGTAATTCTTTGGTGTAACAGGACATCATAGAATCATTCACAATGTTATGCTTTGTGCTAATGACTTACAGAAGGCACCAGTGAGATGGCTACAAAATGTGATCCAGAGAAACATGTTAATGGGTAAGGGCAGCATTTCACAAATCACAGTAAACTTTCTTAACCGCCAGCTCAAACAATTGTTATTCATTGATGTGTTTGTCCTGCAGGTATACTAATGGAACAGTGACAACATGGAATGATGAAAAAGACACAGTATGTTTATATTTTATGCTATTTTATGTTAGAACACCCTGAAAGCTGTCAGACAGCAAGCTTGCCTGTTCTATAGTCAGGAAATAGTCACCCAATCTGTCTATACTACTGAGAGATTTTACGGTTTGCTGACAGTTACCTCATTAGCATCACACTGGTTTCTGTGCTTTAAAAATTGCAAATTAAGTTACTGCCTATAAAGTGGTAAAATCTCACAGTAGAAAAAAGTATTTATCATTCATGTAGTCCTTTGCTTTGGCCATGTCATCTCACATCTATGGGTAACTGTATTAAATGTTCACCAAGCCACACTCTTGTATCTACTTCAAAAACAGCCCTAGTTTGGGGAAAATATTTTATCTTTTTTCAAGCTCCAGTTATAGTAAATTGTCTACAAAATAATAAGTAACTATAGGCACACAGGAGTTTCCGAAACAAACTGGACTTTTTAGTTTTTATATGTCCATGAATTATGTATACAGTATATTGGCTTCATTTATACATCTTAGGAATCAACTGTACCTGCCTGACACAGCAAGTGTATGCTATATGCCTATGTTAGTAAAGATGTAAGAGCTTCCCCATACAGGAGATTTTTTTTATTAAATGGTTAGTTGGTAATAAGATTAGCTCCTTGTTGATATCTGCCTTATTTGCAATATGTTAAAATCAAATGACAGATTGGGAGATTGTTAATAACACATTACAAAGTAATTATAAATCCCTTGTTTAGATTAGTTTTAATCATTTTTTAAACAAAGGCATAATTATTGAAAGAGAATTTGGGTTGCCTCTTTTTCAGGTTTACTAAGGAATGCCAACAGGTGGCTTTACATGTAACAATGCCTGGAATTCTTACTATTTCTAGCTATAGCAATATACACATATCCACAAGAGACTGTGTTATTCTGTTTTACTATTCTTGCGTGTTATACTGTATACCACTATAAAAGTTGCATTGCAAGTAATTGCACGGGAAACAATGGTGTAGAAAGGTTTACTTTGCGTTGTGCGTAAGTATGCAACATTAAATAAGATGTCTTGGGAGTACAGGTGTGAAAATGAAAAAGTAAGGGCCCATTCACACCACATCATCTCCAGACCAGACCAGATTGTTTCCGGACCCAAAATGCATCCTAATGTATCCCTATGCTATCTCTGGCCTCTGTTCACACCAGCACAGTCCGTTCGTGGAACGCATTGAAACGCATTAAAAATGCATACAAATGCACTGTAACACACTGCCACGCACCTGAAAGACCATTTTAAGCTAAAAAAAAAATCAAAGACAAAAAAAACCTATAGAACGCAGCAAAATAGCAGTAAAAACGCTGCAAAACACAATGCACTGCATTCCAGATCTGGTCCGGAGAATGGTGTGAACCTGCCCTTAATCTAGACTGTTGTCCCTTGAAAGGTTAGGTTAATGCAGGGTTAGTGGGGGTGCTTGCCTAGGGTGCTGCAGGGAGGGAAAGCACAGCTAGGGATGTGGACCTTTATCAGATTACAAAAGCAGAGCTGGTGTAATGCAGGGCTAGTCAGTCAGTTTGAGAGCCAGGTCCTGCTTGTCTATGAAACTGGCACATAGTCTATTGTTTTTTGTATGTATTTACTAAAGTGTGATGCCCAATAAAATAGGGTGAAATCCAGTGAGCTAAAGTGATCTTGAGCCACATTGACTGCAGTTTAACATAAGCTGAAATGCTGTAGCCCCATGTACACTTTAAACATCCATTCATTCATGTCTGAAATTTATAGAGCTTATTTTATGTATTTAGCTGTTATAAGTGAGTGCAGATGGAGTTAGGCTTTCTTCACAATTAAAAGAGAACTATGGTGTAACCTTTTTATGCCATAGTTCTCTTTAGAGTCACGGGAGGACATATACTAACCTCCTCCAGTGACCCAAAGCTCAGTATATAGCGGGCTATTGTCCGCTATATACTGAGAGCGCCAGAGCCAGGACAGATCCGGACAATACTGTTGAGATCCACCCAGCTGGCTGATTGGCAGCGGGCTCTGCCTATCTAGAGGCAGAGCCAGCTGTGCCTGCCCCCCGTCCGTTCCTCCAGATCAGCGCTGGAGGATCGTAGAGGGGAGGGGGAAGCCCTGCAGGGAGCAGTGACTGACAGTCACTGACAGTCGGGAAGTGATCGAGCGACGGTATGTGTTCGCTCACTTCCCGATCTATAGAATCGACATGTGACATCCTCTAACTTTGAGGATGAGTGTAAATCACTCACCTCATAATTCTCTTTTAAGCAAATCTAGTCCAGTATCACTTCTGTTTACTGCACCTCCCTTCAATGTCCTTCACACTTTAATAAGCCTGACCCTGATCTCTTCCTGTTAGGTAGTCTTCTGTTTACCTACTGGGAAACTACAACAAAATTCCTGATTTTATGTTCAACACTTGCAGCAATAATAAATTATTCTTGGGGTAGATTAATACTGCAGCCGGGACAGAAATTACTATTAGTTATTACCGTATTTGACGGCGTATAAGACGACCCCCCACTTTTTGTGTAAAAAATATAGGTTTTGGGCTATACTCGTCATATAAGACGAGTATAGCCCAAAATAATGTTTAAATGCACCCACTAACATCCATGGCGGTATTCCCGAGTGTGGCTCGGGGTTAATTTTCAGTAACATAAGCAGTAACCCCGAGCCACAATCGGGAATACAGTCTCTTACCTTGTCTACGATCCCC